AGAAACATCTTAACCCTTCTACTGTAATCTTATATCACTATTCACATAATAACCACTTAGCCAATATCCGTAAACGAACTCTAAATCTCCTTACGTCAACCTAAGCTATAATATGGAACATACGGTTGACAAGAACTTCGTCATGAGATTCTGTTTGTATGAAAATGACAGTAAAAGATGAAAATTTGAGATAGCATTGACTAGATATAACACTATTATCACTAGACATAACTTCGCGATATAGTTGCATGCAGTCTAGATGTAAAGCTAGATAACAGGGACAGGTAAATGTAAATTTGAAACTGGTTAGAAAAAAGACGCGAAACGAACTCATCAGTCACACAATACAGGACACTATATTAAAGAAGCAGAAGATAAAAAGGCCGGTGTAATATTAATATTTACAACATTGCCTTTAATAAATAAGTATGTATTGTTATGTATTAGACATCCCACCTATACTGATTAACGTAACTGATAAGCTAACGATATCATGTGCTCACTGCAACGTGACCTGACCTTCAATGCGTGCACGTAACCATGTCGGGCCAATGCACGTGACTTTTATGTAGATGAAACCAGAGTATAAATTGTATAAATGACGAAAACAAACATTTTGTGTTTGCAGTAACCTAGTACATTATTTGCAATATTTTCCCCTTTTCATAATAGATAGATATTAACGCAAAGACGAATAATTAGGGAAGCGTTTAGACCCCTCATAGAAATAGATCATTGTCGAAGGTATCAGATGTCCCACAGAAATCAGTAAATCTGGCATCATATACGCAGCTCTAATGTTCAAAGAAGAATTAAAGTAGTATACCGTAACCAAGGTATTTAGTGAAGCAGTATTCGAAATAACTACAACAATAACCGAAATAACTACAACAATAACCAAAATAGATACAACAATAACCGAAATAACTACCACAATGACCGCAATAACTACAACAATAACCGAAATAGCTACCACAATAACCGAAATAACTACCACAATAACCAAAATAGATACAACAACAACCTAAATAACTACCACAATAACCAAAATAACTACCACAATAACCGAAATAGCTACAATAATAACCGAAATAACTACCACAATAACCGAAATAACTACCACAATAATCGAAATAGCTACAACAATAACCGAAATAACTACAACAATAACCGAAATAACTACCACAGTAACCGAATTAACTACCACAATAACCGAAATAACTAAAACAATAACCGAAATAACTAAAATAATAACCGAAATAACTACCACAATAACCGAAATAGCTACAACAATAACCGAAATAACTACCACAATAACCGAAATAACTACAGCAATAACCGAATTAACTACAACAATAACCGAAATAACTACAACAATAACCAAACAACACAAAACACGTTTCACACTATATTATCATGTAATTACTCTCTGTCGAACTTTTTCTCTAGATCATTAACACTTACTTATGAGTTTTACTAGTGAAGAGCTGATCCAATGATAAGAATTCACAGAAACACATTACTTTCCTGATCGAAGGAACAGAAATAGCTCATTCAAAATGACACATACAAATGTGTGGCCTTTTTGATTACCCTATCATCCCGTACTTTTCATAAACAAAATATAACTACTGTTCACCGTAAAAAGTCTACTTCTTTCATAAGACATGATATTTACTCTTGAAACACATCTTTAATCAACTTTGGTTGTAAATTGTAGCTGTAATATGCCAACTGAAGACATTTCTGAAATGTAAGTACATTGACCTTTGTCTACCATACAAACAAGTAAAATGTATTTTCAATCATACCCATGAAATATTTGTATACCTGTGTCATGTCACACCCGTGAAATACACGTATACCTGTATCATGTCATACCCGTGAAATACATGTATACCTGTATTATGTCACACCCATGAAATATACCTGTATTTTGTAATACTTCTGAAATATGGGATTAATAAGTCTAAGCCGTGAAATAAATTTATACCTACCAAAAATGTTATATATATTCTGTATAACTCGTGACACATCAATGGTATTTTACGAGGTATTACTAAATATCTCATTTCGCAGAATACTAAATGATGTAAAAAATGTGTTTGTAGATAGATGTAAGAAATTGATTATTGACACACGGTATAAACATTACAAAGCTATTGAGCCATGCTAGGAGTCTGTACACACCTTTGGAGACCATCGACAAAGCCTCGACTGATCCACTTCATTCTTCAAAGATTAGTGACAATGAATAGTAAGGGTATCTAAAGGTGGCCACTACGGCTTATACTGCCCTCTCATGTTTGTACTTTTAAGTTCTATCCTGTGTCACCGACCTCTCCCTAAATATCAAAGTTGTATATTGACTATAGGAGCTTTGATGATGATGTCAAATCGTGGAGCTTTATTACTGGATTAATATACAGCGCACGGGGAACACACCTACGGTGATCCAACAAATGCCGATTCAAAGTTGGCAATGGAAAGATATGCACGAGGTTGTCTCCCTTTACAAACACCTCATGAAAATGTGAAAACAAACAAGAAAGATAAAACAATTGAGAAATCTGTACAGGTAATAAGATATAGAAAAACATGAACACATGAACTTCTGATGAATTTAATTATTCCTAACGTTTTATAGAAAATCACGCAAGCGAAACATATTTGTATGCTGATTCAACGTTAACTGGTCATTAGAGCATTGACTGTAAACATTAAAATGTTGACACTTAGGTATAATACTGTTTACTATTCCATGCAATTATTTGTAATAACTTTTGTTACTGTGTATGTTGAAAGTCATATATGCTATTGTTGGTGTTGAATTTTGATATATGTTGCGTGGCTTCTGACCAACGCTTACGTCACATATCTACAGCGCTATAGCAGCTCATATATAGTCAGAATATCAAAGGGAGTTTAATAGCTAAGCTATACATATTGCTAGCGGGATATGAAAGATATCAAGGTAATTTTTTATTGTTTTATGTAAATGTAAATACAGGAAAACTTCAAATTTGAATATCAGAACTGAATCTATCTAGGACCACGACGATAGTATTATATAAAATACAATTGCTCTTGACAATTGATGACAATCTGATGAATAAAAGCTCGTTGAAAGATAAACTGAGGTAAGAAAGACATGTTCATATCACTTCATCGCGTATATACTACCTGTTTCCCTAGTTATGACAAGGATGTGGTGTAAGGAGCTACCGGAAGTATTGTTGACTTGTATGATATAATGGCGTGGTCGTACAACTGTCACCGACTTGCAAATCAAAATTCTTGACCGATACAAAAGTATCATAAGCTGGTTCAACAATACATATACAAGAAAATAATAGTTTAACAAAATCTTGTTTTTTCCAAAATGAGGAAATTAGAGCGAAATATGACCAAGAGTAAAATGCACCAGGAAAATAGGACCAGGTGTCTTCAGTTTCAGCGAAGACAAATAAAAATGTTGGTCAACACAATAAATTTCACATTCATATTTTAACTAAATAAATTGATTGCAGTACGAGTTGTTGGATTTATTTGGTGATATATTGGGTTTAGTGGATTTCATTTAACTGAGGAGTTTAATGCTATTAATAGATTTTACACACATACAAAAACTGTTACTAATTCTGTTGTACTGTAGCACATTGTAGTAACTAATCCTGTGAAACATTCGTGGGAGGGAGACCACATGCGTGGTTACTCAGAAAACAGAGGGAAATCTACATTTAAACCATATTAATCTTATACAATTTATTATTACTTTGTAAAACTAACTTTTAAAGCATATATATTTACGTAACAGACGTTTATACAATAATATTACTTTTGAGTACAGCATATATTTTCGTCCAGGGCTAAATATAGCACATCAACTGCTTCTAATGAAATAAGTTGGCATGCTTTATGGACAGTATTTAATAAATCTCATATACGTTTTACAAAGAGGTGCTAAATAATTAGCATAGCTGTCAACAGGTACTGGCTGTTGTTATATAGCCTACGGGTAAATACAAAACACAGCGGTACAGTGTACTACTGTGTATAACCTTTCGATACAGTAAACCTCTGGTTTACAGACTGTGGCATGGTTCGCATGGTTTCTACATAGACAAATAATTGATATATTATCATTAGGTTACAACGCATGTTACTTCCTTTTTATAAAAGCAAATTAAATCCCATTTAGAATTCATAAAAGTATAGTTTCTCACGATATCTATGCAACTCCAAGTCAAAATTACGTTTATACTTGGTCAAATCCCAAATACAATTAATTCAGCTAGCTCGATATAACAGATATGTGTACGTTAATAAGACAAAGGTAGACAACGACGGCATTACTTTTCAACAGAAGTCTCCAAAATAAAAAGATATTGCATTTGTATTCAGCATTTAAATGCTGTTTATCACTCTTACACCTGGAATTGTTAAATTTAGAATAAAAAAAACAATGTGAAATTGGAAAAAAGCGCAAAGAATTTCAAGCGAAATGTAAGAAAACAAACAGATTAATAGCTAGTCATGTCAAACAGAAAGGAGGAGGGTGCATATTTATGGAGTCATAAATCTGTCAACATTGCATTAAATAATTTAAGAAAAGATGCACGCCAACAATACAACCGACCGTTTTCCAAGTGGTGGGCGATAAAGTAAAATATTTTCCAACATGAGAACTGTGAATTGTGACGTCATGTCATCCACGCACAAACACCACATCATTCTGCAGGCAAGTTTATTTCATATGGCAGAAAAAAACCCACACGAATATCATTATCTAAATAGATTCAAACTCCATTCTGGAAACGGACTTGATATTCTTAACCCATTATAGTTGGTAAGAATGAGATGCCCTGATGTCTAACGTCTCCTGGTCGATCGGGCATTGGTGATATTAACCTGTTAGTATAATTAAAATAGGTCTTACATGCATAACAATCCATTCAAACTATGCATCGGCCTCTGAAATCGATTATCAAATAACTTACCTTTCAGCCTCTTCGTAAATCTGGGACATCTTCTCAATATCGATTTTGTCTCCGATTTTTAATTCACTTTTTTCTATGGCGGGTAGATTGATGTATTCATGGAAGAGAGCTGCAGCCGAGGCATTAGTACTATCCTCGCCGTTAATGGCGGTCGTAGCTGCAGTAAGAGGATGTCCAAAAAAAGCTTGGATGTCATCCGGTGGCCCATCTTGTTCAGACCTTCGCTTAGAATCCTTTGAGTTTTCTTTCTTCGCATGCTTGTTCTTTTCAGATGTCCTGAAATATACAAATATCGATTACATATGATGGAAGTTAGTGATTGCTAACAACAAGACATACAATGCTTTACCTGAAGTTAAAGCCAATATCGGGGTAGAGAATATCTAGTATGGTCTTTTCAAATTCACTGTCAGACAAAAAAAGTTTGTCACTCCTGTCATTCATGATGATTGAATACTGGAGAGTATGGCCGTATGGTCATAATTAAGATATATGTATGTACAACAGAACGTTTGAAACAAGGCCACCGATAGCATCACACTCCTGGTGGTCACCCGTGTCTGATGTAGACAGGTGTTACTTTCAAATAATGGAAGACGCTATTATTCCAAGATGTATGGAGCGAAACTAATTCGACCCGGCAATAAAGAACTTGTCAATCTGACAAAATAAGTCCGAATGCTTGCTGTCGGGTCGAGCTGACATACCGTATTTTTTGTATTAGATTACGGCACAAAATCACGACATTTCATATATGGGAGGTAAACAATCGTTTTTAATTTATGGACCTTCCTACAGACAACACTTTTTAACAGTCAGTTATAATCTATACATGTTTACAACAGAAGATGCGAAGTGGAGCCTGATAACACGCAATCAACGATCCAACGTGTATTTCTATCTCTACCAGGTGACATTGATGCACCAAACTTAATCTATTAAGATGGTGGGAGGGTGGAATTCGAGCGTAAAACTGTTTATTATGACTCAGAATAAGGGCCGAAACCTATTAGGTACTCAACTGTGTGACATTAAGTACCATTTATGTTTGAAGCAAAGTGTGGTTGTTCACAGTAGTGAAAGTGAAAGAAATACTTTGTTTAATAACATATCCCCATGAAATGTATCTACAACAAAATCTGATTCCTCCCTCTTAAAAAACAACTTTCACTATCTCCATTGAAACCACTGTTTGATGAGATAAATGTCAAGATATTACTATTGTGATCACCACCATCTCGTCCATTGTGAAATAAGAAGTCGTCGGGACGCTCATGTAAATCAGGTTTTTATGCCGTCTTTAACCATTCATTTCTGAAACAGGGTTTCCTTGATGCATCTTCGCTTAAAATCAGGACAATAATAAAAACAAAAAACAAAAAACAAAAACAAAAAAAAAAAAAAGAAAAAACCTCAAACGTACTGGGAACAACTTTGTACGTTCATATGCACAGATTATGAACATTATCATATCCTCTCTGATTTCATATTTGTCTCAATTTTCGATCCATGGGATTTTGAAGGTATTTTCCACTTTTAAACTATTCCAATCTTTGTATTTACTTAGCAACTTCTATTCAATAACCCACTCTTTGAGTTGTTATTTTTATTAGTTATTATAAATATCATTCATGTTTACTTTATTTACAATACATAGAAAAAAACAAATAGCAATCTGTATCACATATAAAATAAAAACTATTTTACGACACTCATACATTACTCAATGCTCATGTCAAATTCACTCTAATCATTAATAAATACCAAAAGCATTTTATAGGAATGAATTCCCAGAATAGATGCAAACTCTCAAAACTTAAAAAAAGGTACAGAGTTAATGAAGTTGAGAGTATTCGTGTAGACTATCAACGTTAAAACATCGTTACCTAACAAACTGTAGTATTAATCATTATGTAGCTTAACACATACAAATGCTACAAAGTAAAAAAGGGTGCTGTTTTCAATGTTGTAAGCAATTACAATAATGTTTACTTACACATGTATGGTGCTATTAATATTACCTCTAATATACAGTATATTCCAAGTCAAATTTACATACATTACATATTAAAAGATCTGGGCATTTTTAATCAATTTGTCATCTCTATAGGTTCAGTTGAAGGGGTTTTTTTTTTCAAAAACAAGACTGTCTGTCAGGTGTCTACATTGAACTGCGCATGTACTAAGATTTCAAAAAGCTATCAATGAAATTCTATCTGGTGCTATGTTTCCATAGCCCGAAATGCCTTTACAAGCAAATGACGTTAATAGGTTCACACCGCCTTCTTGGCATTTTCCATGAAGGAGATATATGTTTTTGAGAAGTGCTTTGCTAATTGTCTTTCTATAGTCCTCAGCTTTTCTTACTTTAGAATACAAATCGAAATAAAGAAAAATACTTGATAGTTTCCAGTGAATGATATTTGGGTCAAATTTGCAACTGAAGATAAAATATATCTATGAGAACATTCAATGCGTGATATTAAGCCATCAGTGTCGCGACTGGTGTTAGCGTAGAAGGTTGTCTTAACTACAAGGTCAACATACTTTAGATGGTTTAGATATTGTTTCTCCGCTGTTGATCAGCGATATGATAGCTCATTACAATTTAATGAAATATAAGCTCACTTAAAATGGTCAAAATAGTTTGGTCGATTACACGAAATTCGATACATTTGAAATAGAATCGCAAACACCCCACAAAAACCGAAGTGATTCATAGCCAAAGTGATTGTCTATGATTTTGAACCAAGATTAGTTACATAACTATCAGTGTTTTATATGCATCCATTTATACTCAAGAAATTAAAACCCAAATAAAATGCCGACCCTTAGTCGTTGTAACAGTCATTACGTCACAGAATAATACACCTCAAGTTTTGATTCGAATTTAAGATAAGTAACAAAAATGGTTAAAAATTTTAAGAATGAGAACAAAAATCATAGATATTATAAGACAACATAAGAAAAAATTATTAAAACTTAACCATTTCAAATCCATGGTACAAATAGGCACTTACCAGTTTAAACCAGGCAGTGTATCAAATAAACCATCTATTGAATCGTCACTGAAAACACAGTCGAGAACCATCCTCATGACTGGGTGTAGTAAAACATACACCTTCGACCTACCATTCACTTATATATGTCCATATACCACAGACGGCACCCACACATATATCAGCACTCTGTCAATAGCACCCCGACATCAAAATAAACCTTTACATTCATACCACGCTGGTGACAGTCCAGAAGACACGGCCCACTTGGTAAGATCTCAACTTATACATTTTTCACCTTCTGTAGACACTTTGATAAACATCTCTTTCACTTTCAAATTTAATGTGATTTCATAAGAAATCTCTAACCATTAATCTTCAATAGAAGTCTTGTTAAATATATTGTGGGGAGCTTGGATAAGTGTCAAGAATCTGTTTAAATATTGACGATTTCTCACATGCACCTCCACAATCTAGGAAACCTTTATCTTATGACAAATCATTCTGCATTAGAATAAAACTTATGTCAATGACACACTACAATGCATTTTAACGATGCTAAATGACTTTAAATCAACACCACAGAGTTTGCATTAGTGAGCAGACATCCGCCTGTCATACATTTCTGAATCAACCACAATTATATTAATTAATTCTGATGAATTTCTTTGGGAAAGTAATATATATGAGATGAATAATCATGAATTAATATTACAGTAAACAGATTGTGAAGAAAGAAGAGACTTCAGAAACATAAAATAGAACCAGATTTATGTTTCTTTTATGAGACAGAGAAAAAAGGACCAAGAAAATCCTTATGTCTGATCAGCAGAAGGAAACACGAATATATGTAGAGATTAGACGGTAATGAGTAATACATTAAATCTAGTTATCGGAGTTTGACTTGTAAATTTATTTCGAAATATGAAAAGAAGGAAATAATATATTAGCTTATTGAAATATACAACACTTCTTTATAGACAAACAACCATAAAACATTCAACAGTCATCAGCAAGCTTTCTCAATAATGGTGAGCCAAAGTCTACATACAAATCAAAAATATTACATATCAGGCGAATTGAACGAGCATTTAATTGCAACATGTCATTTATAATCTTTATCATAATAACACATTGGATCACGGATGTTCTAGGATTTTACTTATTAAATAATCGATATAGGAAGAGAATAATCAAAACAAATGTATGTTATGAACGCCAGAAAACACTTTACGAGAACAACCATACCTGTTCGACATCAATTGTGCCTTAAGGACCTTCATTGTTAAGCGAGAAGAATTGAATTGCAGATCCAAGGATAAAACGCAGTCTAATTTTCTCAACTTATATTTAGAATCTCATCATATGTCATAATGTGTAGTAGCATCCCTTTTCATATCACCAGGCCGGGTGAATAAATGTAGGCCGCGGACAGAAGTTTTAATAATAAATAACAAATGTGTTCAAACACTTGGTATATAGCAGCTTAACACAGGTTCCTACCGTGAACCAAAGACAAAACAGTGTAGTTGTCCTGTAATTTTAACTCTCACGCAAAGCCATAGTCATGAAATGTGTTAGAACATTTAATGGTTCGCTTGTTATCCACCAATCCACGTGGTAAATGTATGCACCTAGCACCGTGTACAGCTACCAAAATTGTACAAATACACACGATAATCGTAAACCGTCCTATGTTCCTCACGTCAATTCGGGTATGAGCATTGAACCGGTAGGTTTACGTATAATGTACACTCTTCTCAGCGTCTGCATCCATCCGTATGCAGTAGCCATTTAATTATTCACATTTTCTATACATTGTCGCACAGCTGCTTAGCGTGTTTATATGACATGGAAATACATGTGTTGAAGAAACGAAGCACTTTCTCTGAAAACACCGATCTATCCATTTGGTTAAACTTACAAAGTTCGTCAACATAGCTTTGTTACGATAGGTGAAAGAGGACACACCGACCTCTTCATACACAAACCGATAAGGTCTCAACTGGACCATACAAAAACGTACCCAGCAATAGGCCGGAAATTGTCCAATTCAGCCAGCAGGAATCTTAACATAAACAATCTACAGCACGGAAAACAAAACAAGACTCCCTTTCATAAGTAAATCGCTTTCTTACGTTTGCCTACTTATAGTAATCGTCCTTGGAATTGGTGTATTGTGTGATACTACTCGTATATTGTCGTCTCTGTAATCCTCCACCGAATTTACTACAGCGACTCCCAATCAATGTGGGCTTAGCACTAAGACTGGGACTAGGCGTGGCATGTGGATTAAATTTGCACCTGAAGATATTTGGCACCATAAATAGGTCACTTTTATACTATTGTTATTTAAAAGTTATAACGATAAAACAAAATGACGCTGGAGAAAGAAGAAGAGACGCTAATTCCAACACTTGCATACCTAATTTTTGGTAGATGAATACCACAAAATAAAAAAGAAAATGAAAAAAGAAATAAAAAACAACACACCATTTGCATTTAGACAGACGTTGAACTATCTGTTTACGTGTCTCGTGAAGATCTCATTGCATCCATTGTATGTATATATCCTATCGGTGTGTTGATTACCATGTTCTTTTCTATTGAAGAAAAACATTTTTATCATATGCAAATTGTATATAACAAGAGATGTGTACCATCATTGTCCATTTTCAGTACTCCTCTAGTTACTCTCTGGAATATTTGTTAATGCTGGCGATTTCTTTCTAGTTCTGTTGTAACATACGGTGAATAGTGCTGATGTGATAAAAATTAACAGTATCTGCTATCTAGCAGACATAAGTATGTTTGAAATACTTAAGTACCGTGGGTAGGAATAGGCAATATTAAAGTAATGTACGGGTATATTTCATACATGAAACTTAATTTGTAACAACTATGGTTAAACTGTCACTCTTCATCAGTCAAAGACCTCTGTGACTGAGAAACAACTTGTACTTTTGCTTTAATTGGCGAACTGCTATAAAGATCAGTGACACTGAACAAGAAAATTACAGGACACTTACTGTACAAAATTTACACGGACTACTTAAACTCCCAAACACATTGTAACCGAGACTGGTGTCCAATCATATCACAGGGTCGTGTAAAGCGTCATCACACATAGGTACGAACCCCATCATCAATTATACTTGGATACCTTTTTACACATACCACATACTTCGCTACCGCATCATCAGTCAGAATTGATTACCACGTCCCTAAACATACCACATACCTAGGTACCGTGTTAGAAGCATAAATAACGTCAAAGTAAAATATGCATATTGGACAACAGAACGACATCCATACTTAATTATTTTGAATGGATTCTCAATACCGAGACAGCGGCACTGAGTAACTGTACAAAAGGTTAATGGTTTCATGACTAATTAGGGACGTATACAACACCTACTGATCTAGAACACATATACCGCATCTTCTAATGATAATAACAATTGATGTAAACTTTGTTTTGTTTCACGCAGTTTGTTAAGTACCTTGGTAATGTCCTTGATTGTTTCTGACCTTACACACGCTTCTGAAATATATTATGAAAATATCGAACATCATTCCTTACTTTGCTGTCAATACATTCCTATCTATCTTTGAATGTATCTCCCTGATCAAACCCCTCTCTACTTTTGTTTCATCCACGTGATATTACAATAATATGTATTACTCTGAAGTGTAAACATCATTGTCTTAACAATTTAATTATGTAAGAACTGTAATTATCTTCTATATCAATGGAATGCACCGGATTCATTTCAGACTCATATTTCAGTATACATTATCAAATGGATATATATTGCATTCTTTAATTAATCATGTTATTATAATGATAATTGAAAGATGAAAATCCTAAAAAATAATGACATTTCAGCAAACATATGTATCTTTTCAGAAATTTTGATAATTTGGACAACTTTTTAATAAAGAATTATTTTAATGGGCTTCTTATTCATAAGTGTAAATTATAATTTCTTTACTTTCATACTACCCAGCAACCGTTTCAGTATTGCCACGTGGCGGGTGTATTCAAATTAATGAGTCCATGCTTCTGAAAGGCACTTCATTCGCTTTGTTAGATACATATTCTAAATTACATACATTCGCTAGACAGCATTAATTACTGTTTTATTTTATAATGTATCAGATTTTGTTATAAGTTTTTATGTTAATAAGCAATATAATTTTATTATAGTATCATATGCAACGTTTAATGGTATGTTATTCGACTACGGAATATTGTTATCAATTTAATGCATGTCAAGGTATTTGTTATCAGGAGAGATGAGGAACACCTAACTGGTAAAGTACATGCACACTCAATAATTAATATGCAACTTTAACGTTAGACTTACACTGATGATCTCATATCGACTGCCAAGTTTCTCCAATATGTGGCTGAATCTTCTGTTCCAGTGCATATAAGATACTGTGATTTTATAGGATGTTGACTGTAGCAAACTTTGTTTTCTGTTATGTTTTCGCTATATTTCGCGTGTAAAAACCACACTAGATCCTAAATGTATTGTATTTCATCTTTTAGATAATTATGAGATTTCTCAAAAGTAAATAATTTCACCAGCTGGCAGTAATCTTCCAATCTTTGAAGACACCATGCCGACAGAATGATCAAATTGTAGTATATTACTTTATGTGCAATGTTACCAACTACCAACTAAAATTCGCTAAACGTAGGTACAAAACAACATCAGATTTCCTTGTACATACCACCAAGTTCAACAAAAAGTACATATCTACTCATGTAGATGAAATGTCGATGAGTGAAAGTATAAAACATTAAGTGACGAACTATCTAAGCGGTGGTTTAAAAACCAGGATGATATCATTATGAACATATCAACTTACAAGTTAACATTTTACAACAGGAAGAACTAGTAGCTTACAAGTTACGGAATAGTTCATAAGTGAAAACCGGAAGTAACAAACAATACAGACTAGTGGAAGACATTAAACAGACGTTATTGTAGAGTTCTAGTTGATTTGCTGAATAACAATTTGACGTGATATAGAACAAAAACAAAAAAGAGAAAGAAACAAGCACAACTGAGCTTGGTGTGTTGATGACTGGTATTAAGTGGTATATAGTCCAAGGTGTTCATGAAGTGGTGTTTTAGAATCCTGTAGTTTACGTGCCTTTGCTTCTTTAAAAGGAAACAAAAGATATTTACACAATAAGGTAGTTTTAGTGAACCCTACCTTGTCTGGAACGATACAATTATAAACTATGCTACTGTTTGTTTTCCTGGGCTGGTTCATTGTAATTATCAACGGAATATGAAAGCTTCCCTTAGAAGACAATCAATAGTGTAATACACTGGTATATACAACAAACAACAACCAGCCCTTTTGTTGAGCAGGTACAGCGTGAAATCATGTATGTAAAATATAGTTTATATATACTGGAGTGATGTGTTCATTGATAATCGATAAATATTCATGACTCATTCCTTCCTGTAACTTTTAGATTGATTTAATTTTCAATATAAACTCATCGACTTCATCAAGGTGCTCTTAAAATGAAGGATGTGGCTAAGTACAAATAAATGGTCGTAAAATACATGTAACAGATATGTAGGAATTTATCACTTTTCCTTGCTGTGAATAAATTACAGATAATTTACCTTTAGACGATACCCAACGCTGGTACTTATTCGTGAAAATATGTTACTTTTGTGTCAGAAATGATTGAAAGTTGTATTTATACCTAGTTCTGTATTAGCGAGACCGACATATCTATGTAGGCGTTACAAGTGGGAGACTGTATATAAAATGACGGCGCCTCTAGGTAACCGCCTCTGACGCAACATAACATTGTTAATTACCAAATCGATTGCAAATAAATATGTATATTTATGGTAATTACAACTGCTTAATTTATATATATATTGTGCAAATTAAATCTTGATTATTTAATCAAGTTTAAGGATAACCTGTATAGTATGTGGGTGCATGAAGTTATGCACAACGCAATTTATTGAAGTTATTTCAATTAACATATTTACTGTTCTGCCCTGTAGCCTATTACCTTAACAGATAACGCTTTTATCTTTTATATGGAAATACTAGACGCGAGTTTAAAGCTGATGTTAAAATACATTCACAACATGATCAATTGCTCGATATAATATTGCTTTAATGATGAAGAACGGAAGTACACTTCAGGTGAAATCAATGATTCCAAGACCATCGACCTCGCCAATGTTATCGATTACATTGGCCTGGGATGAACGTCATCCATCATGGCCGT